AAGAGAAAACTATACTCTGAGAATCAAACTGAACTTAGAAATCCTTAGGACAAATTTGGATAACAATATAGAAGAAATTAAACAAAAAAACCCTATATTAAACAATATAGAAGAAATTCAACAAATTTTAAAGCTCGACAAAGAAATTTTTTAAATGGATTTTTAAAAAACTAGACATATTTATATAAATTTTAAATAAAAAATCTAAATAAAGGCACTGTTGTGCTGGAGCCAGCTCACACTGGCTTTGGAAGGTTAGCTGTGCATACCTTTCTCCAACTCCACATTTAGTGATTCAAACTGATAACGTGAAATTGGCTATGGTGGGGATACTTACACCACAGAATTCGGCAAATGCTACAAAATGCTTCTCCTCACCCCCCAGGGGGGTCATTGGTTAAAATTACCAGTATACCAATGGATAATGGTAACTTTAAGTTATACTAAAGTTCAAAACATGCAACCAGAGGATTGAGATTCTGTGGTATGTTAGACAATTTTAGATAACTGCAACAATATTTGGAGGACAACTTTAAAGCTGGGGGTATCCCCTAATATGAAGTTTTCTCTGGGGTTGTTCTCTATATAGGTCAGTTTTTATTCATTTTATTTTTGGCTCCGTTGGGTCTTCGTTGCTGCGTGAGCTTAGAGCCGCAAGCAGGGCTACTCTTCGTTGCAGTGCGCGGGCTTCTCATTGCGGTGGCTTCTCTATGTTGCGGAGCACGAGCTTCAGTAGTTGTGGCTCGTGGGCTCTAACACCGCAGGTTCAGTAGTTGTGGTGCATGGGCTTAGTTGCTCCGTGGCATGTGGGATCTTCCCAGACCAGGGCTCGAACCCGTGTCCCCTGAATTGGCAGGTGGATTCTTAACCACTGAGCCACCAGGGAAGTCCCAGGTCAGTTTTTAGAGTCCAATCTTTAATAAGCCTACTATTACTTTTGCTATTACTTTTTAGAGTCCAATCTTTGATAAGCCTGCTATTACTTTTCCAGATTTCCCTTATACAAATAGGAATGTAAATTAAGTAATGAATATTACTATGAAGGACATATATCATCACTCATGGTATGGAGAATGGATATTTTTCAAATATTAAGTCTAACTATTGTATATTTCTTACATTTGTTAGCTGCCATATCTGCTCAAAACTCTTTTTCTTAACTTAATATAGCAGAGAAAAGCAATCTTATGATGTTATACCAAAGCATAGAAAAAAATATAGTAAATTCACATTGCCTAGCACATATACAGCAGTAACTCATTAAATAATCAATGGATAAATGAATTAATAATCATAATACAGAGTGATTCTCAAAAGTACAATGAAAACAACTCTTTACTCACCCATTTCAATACAAGTGATCCCAAGTGACCAAATATCAACTTTCCCATCATACTGTCCTTCATCCATAGCTAAGATCACCTCTGGAGCCATCCTGCCAAACATAATGTACAAAACTCAAGTTGCAAATTAAAAACAAAATTCACCTGATAAAGTGATTCAATAAAATAGCTGTTTTGGGGCATATTCTAAGTTTTATCTGATAAAGTTATAATTTTCTTACACAAATAATTTGAAAAAACACTATTCAAAATATAAACAATACACTCAGTGATTTACATGAAACAATACATTACTTTCACCAGATCATGGTTCCACCATTTACTATCCTTTGATCTTGGCTAAGTTACTTAACCTTTCTGTATATCAGTTTCCTCAACCATAATATGGAGAGAATTTTATTAGCTACCTCAGAGAGATTGGTAAAGGAATAATATGTATGAAACATTTAAATAAACTACTTTAAACAACATGAAGAATACCTTATGCAATTACATAAAGAAATATAATCAGATATTTCAAAGATGTTACAAGTTAAAAAACAAATAAACTGGCTATAATAATGGATATTATTTTGTTTGTCCGTAATGGATTTTCATTAGGAGGGTAAGGGCCATATAGTTTAATATGCTTTGTTCTCTATTAGTGTTTGTAAGTAGTTGCTTAATAGATACTATTTGATGATAGTGGAAAAATATTCAAATAGTAGCTGACTTTTTTTAGTAGGCAAGTAATTTTCCAGAGGTATAAGTCATTCTCCAAGGTACAGTGAAATTCCAATGTATCTATGAAAGGAAGGAAAGGAGTCGAATAGAATGGGGTGAAACTTTAAGTCAGAATGACAAGTGAGGTAAAGTATCAGAGAATTCAACAGAAACAAGAATCTGGATTTCTTTCATTGAAAGGTAAAATTTATGCTCATTGGCTACAGAAGGTTAAAGAAACTACCTTGTTCTCGCCTAGAGACTCTGCCTGAAGAGAAAAGTTCAAAAGAAACTTCAAATGAAGTCTAAAACCTGAGCTTGGTCAGTGAGTTGATAATCCTACTCAGTTTACACACAGTGACATCAACCTTATTTGAACAATTTAAAGTCACTGGAAATTTTATACTAAGCCTGAGGGTTTCTTTTTTGCTAGTGAGTTTTCTATCCTTCCTAATGAAATCTCATTTGAGACACATGGTGAGACACTGTCAAAAAACAAACAAACAAACAAACAAAACCAGTGCTATGAGTCCATCTTGTTTATATACACATATTTTAAAACCATGTCATGTTTTCTAATTCCACATACCAGTAAGGTGTGCCCACGAAGGAGTTGGCAGGAGAAGCCATTGAGGCAGACCCAAAATCAGCTAGTTTCACCTGACCTGGCTCTGTTAGAAGAATATTTCCTGCTTTAATATCCCTATAGGAAAAAAATAAGAGGGTTAGAAAATTACTTTTCAATTTTGATTATGGAATAGGTCAGAGCATGCACTTAATAAAACAAAAAGTTTATTAAAAAAAAAAAACCTTGCTCAGATAGCCAGAAGGGGATTTAGTGATTACTGCATGTTGTAAGGGGGCCCAGATTCCTCGGTGTACTTACTGGTAGGTCATAGTAATTACTAAAAGGTAGAGCTTTCTTTAAAGGGAGGGAATGCAATGAGAAAAAAGGCAGACATGGCCGACAAGGAAACCTACTCAGTTGCTACACTTACAAAATCATATTAGTTGCTGAATCCAGTCACCAACAGTATTGCTTGTGCTGGGGAAAATTGGCACCATCTGTAACTGCCTTTTTTTTTCTCTTCCAAATTTCATGACATTTTTGGAGTCTAAACAAACCTTCAATGACTCTGTATCGACTACCTACCAATAAACCTCAACTACACACATACCTTTTCTTTCTTGCCTGTGACCCTTTCTCTCTGCCTTTAATTGTAACTGCAACTCTAAGGCATTTGAGAGTACATGTTATAGAGAAGGTGTTATTTTAAAAATAACACTGTACAGTAAAAAGAAGACCCTGAAAGATCAAAACAAACAAGGATTAGGGGTTAGGAAATTGCATTTCTATTGTATTATTACAAAGAATCTCAAGTGGTTACTACTAAAACTACTAGATATTTTATGCAGCAAAAGTTTAAAAAACATGATTTTAAAAAATTTAATCTTCAGTATGAAAATTTGGAATGAGAAGATGTGGACGTACTCCTTATTCTCTTTAAAAAAGTCATGAGGTGTAATGAGTACTAGGAACTAAGAATTGTACGTTGATGGGCAATGGAAAGATAAAGCAGAGGGAATGAGGAAAACACGTTAAGTTGAAAATGAAAGTTCAAATGCTCCCCGAATAACTTTTCCAAAAATCTTCCCTTGAAAATTCAGTTTCTTTCCTCATGAAGACATTAGGCATTGGAAGAGAGAACTAAAAAAAGCATTATTTATTTCTCGTACAACAGAAAATATCTTTTCTCTAACCCTGGCTTGCCTTTTAAATCAAAACAATAAGAATCTGAATTTATTTTTAAATAAAGAGCATTCTTTAAAAGCTTTTTGGCTTTTCAACTCTTTTTACCTATTAAAAAAGATAAAGTGTAGTGTAGAATAAAACATTAAATTAATGTGAAAACTGAGGTAATAAAGGCACAGAAACCTGAACTGACTTTTATAAACAGGAGCAGGCAAAACTGTCATAAACAAGTTGGCATTCAGTAATGACATCTTAATACCAAAGATAGATAGATAGATAGATATACACTTTAAAGTTTATACATATATATACTTTAAAATTGTCAAATCCGTAAATTACAGTTAAATTAATTTTATCAATATTTATTAGACATGGTTACGTTCATTCTTCATCCTTATGAATAAGCCAAATTCATGGCAGGAATTTTGGTCTGCCCATCCTGAGGGAGTTCTGCTTTGTGGTATGTACCAGTAACTGTGACGGCTACTCTAGGACGATTTAAAACAGAAGCAAAAGGGGAACCTATGACTTACTAGTTTCATTTCTTCCTAGTAAATGTAAATTTTTTTCTCTTCTGTTTTTGAGCCATCTCAGGTCCTTTATGCCTACCTCATATTCCACTACTTGGCCACCATTCATTTAAGTAACAGTACTAGAAATTCTTTACTGAGAGAAGGAAAAGTTGGTAACAACATCTTTGTTAAGAAGCTAGTGGTGGGAAGTGGGTTGGAAAGAGGAGAGTGGGGCTGTGATAAAGAAAATGTAATTTAGAGGGAAGCCTTGGATTAGGAGTTAGAAAATGTGAGTTTCAATCTTTACTACATAGATGCTAGGAAACTATGGGCAAGTTATTTAAATCTTTTTAAGTCTCAGTTTCTTCATCTACCAAAATGAAGACAATAATACCTTCCTAAATATCTATGTGGACTAAAGAAATGCAAAAAATGTAAAATTGATAAAACAGCATATATGTACATGAGATTGATTTGTTATTTGCAACAGGAAAGGGAGAAGAACGCAGCTAGGAAACAAACATATGCAAAAGGAAGGCTAATTTTCTTTCCTTTTTTTCTTGACGGTATCAAAAGGTTGCTGGGCTCTTCTTCAAATTTCCCTGCAACACTACGCCTGGAGAATAGTTACCTACAGAACAGAGATGATATAAGTCTTCGTGGTTATATGCGAGAGACCAAGAGATAGGAACTAAATTCGGGCAACTTTACTCTTTACATCCAGAAGCAGCAGCAATCTATTTGCTTCCCATAAATTCTTAGGCACCCTAAAAATTGGAGCATGCACTAATTTTCAAGGTTCCTTGAACAGACTGTCCTGTAACTGAAATGAAAATGTAACTGGCCTCTAATCTTACCTATGAATCAATGCATGAGAATGTAGGTAGGCTAGCCCCTGCAAGGCACCGTGAGTAATGGCAGCGATCTCCACTTCCTGAAGTGGTTTTTTATGAACTGAGGGAAAAAAAAAAAAAAAAGCCAGGAATAGATGATCAGTTTCATTCCTATTTTTATTATATTATACAGCTATAGCAGGCTGACATATATAGTTTTTCTTAAATGACAATTTGGGAACACGTTCACCTAAATACATGGGATATATATTTTCTACAGAATAACAATAAATAACCAGATAACAGGAAACTGAAGCATAAAAACAAACAAACCCCTTCAAAATAAAATAAAACAAAGCCTGATAATCACTGCAACAATTGTTAATTTACTTGTCAGTTGCCAGTCAAAGCCACACTGATTCCAACTGGCCAGTCCCAAATTTACAAGTCCCTCTGACATTTTAAATGTCTAGAGTGTTTTAGGTTGCATTATTCTCCTCTGCCCCAAGCCATGTATAAGTACCCCTTCTAACTACAGGTTTTCATTATTTGTGAAAGCAGCTAATAAGCAACTTCTATTCAGAGATCATGGATAATATAAGAAAGTTTTTTTTTTAAATGTAAATTTTAACTCAGTCTCTGATTATAACAGCATCTGCAGAGGAGAACCGGGTCAGTCAAGGGATGTGAAAGGGTTAAATATCAATATAATTTGGATACCGACACCATCTACCTCTGTTTCATACATACACATGAATTTGATGTTTTTGGCTACACATACTACATCACATGACCCAAACATTTCAGTAGTACCTGCCCTGGATGGGCCATGAACTAAAACAGTGGGAGGGGTGCTAACCATTACTCAGATATTTTCAGCGACATGGCAGAGACAGAGTCTGCATGGCTTATCCACATAACCCTTAAGTGTAAGTCATTAACCATTTAGTTTGCCCAAGGTGTGCTTTAATACAGGAGTAGACAACATTCTGGTCAAGGTAAAAAAGAAGGGGATAGTGCTTTTATCCTTACCTTCTAACAAATCAGAGGCTGAGCCTAAGCAATATTCCATCACCAACTGTAACAGATTGAAATAATAAGCAGAATAATGTAGGTTAATAAGAAACTGCTAAAACCAACCAACTAACCAAGGAACTAAGAATACTAGGAGAATAAATATTCTGATTTACCTGAACCTGTTATTGTTATTTCCTATTTGAAATCGGAATTTCTGTTTTTGTTATTTCCTGTTTGAAACTGGAATTGATCTAAGACAATATGGGGATTGTATTTAAGGATTTAAGGTGGCTAGGTTGGAGTATAAATTAAATTTTGTAACTTGGAAAGTGGCAACCAAATAAATGAGCCAGTATAATCTATACTGGGAATTATTAGTTAAATAATACAAACAAGTAAGCAGTAAATTCCCTACTTTCACATTTTAAAAAGTTCTGGGACTTCCCTGGTGGTCCAGTGGTGAAGAATCCACCTACCAATGCAGGGAACATGAGTTTGATCCCTGATCAGGGAACTAAGATCCCACATGCTGCAGGGCAACTAAGCTCTTGCGTGCCTCAACTAGAGCCCTTGAACCCTGGAGCCCACGTGCCACAACTACAGAGAGAAAACCCGCACACCACAACTAGAGAGAAGCCCGCGCGCTGCAATGAAAGATCCTGCATGCCTCAGTGAAGATCCCGTGTGCCACAACTAAGACCCAAAGCAGCCAAAAAATAAAATAAAATAAAATAAAATAAAATCGAAAAGTTCTAAACAAGAAAACATTGGTTAGAACTCAATCTAAAGATGTATCCTGGGGCTTCCCTGGTGGCGCAGTGGTTGAGAGTCTGCCTGCCGATGCAGGGGATGCGGGTTCGTGCCCCGGTCCGGGAAGATCCCACATGCCGCGGAGCAGCTGGGCCCGTGGGCCATGGCCGCTGAGCCTGCGCGTCC